CGCTTTATCTATTGTACCTACTGTGTTTGAGGATGCCGGTCTGGCCTTTTTGCCCGCGCTCTCGAGCTCTAACCTCATTAGTCTCACGAGGTGCTCCCGTAGACTGTCTCTGCTTCGAGAATCGTCGACGTCGACGCCTTTCCTCCGTAGCTCTGCGATTATCTCTGGTTTTAGAAGGTGCTGCGCCTCATTCACTGTTAGTTTGCGTGCCGATGACGAAGTCTCGCCTTTCTTTGGCTTTGTGTCGCTCATTCGCTATCCCGAGATTATATATTTGTTCGTATGTTGCACCAAATATCCTGAGTTGCTATCACAAGGCGTTGCATGTGCTGTTCGGCCCGCTGTTAGCCGCCTTTCGCTCATCGCGGGTACTGCCGCTCCCGGCTCTCGATCCCGGGAACCCTCGCTCAATCGTCCTCGTCGCCAATTGCAATGTCTCCGTCTTGCCGTGGGTGCGAGGATGCCTTAGGATGCGAGAGGGTGACCTGATACAACAACTCGTTATGCAATGCACTCTGATATATATTCTCTCTGAGCCTCGCCGCATGGCTTACACTCACTCGACTTCCGGCTTACATATCTCCGCGAGCGCCTCGCTTTCCTTACACACACTCACCCGCCAGTACGTGGTGCCCTCTCTCTCTACGCGCATACACCACAACAATAGATATTTTTTTACAATTTTATTTTATTACATTATATATTTTTACTTTTTTCGCCGCTTCTATATCTTCAGCGGGTCGTCGTCGTCGTCGCTGCCGTCTTTTTGGCGGGTCGATAATCCTGACTGTGGCGGGCTGCAAAAAGAAAAGAATTAACACACACACGTCGTTGAATCTACTTACTCGGAAACGTTGATCTCTTTAAAGGGAGAAACCCCGACCAGCGTAAACCCGGAATCAGATGTAATATGTTCTGTAAAAAAAGTTTTAAAAACAATTAAACGATCGTCGACGATAAATATAATATTAGTTGCTTTCCATTTACATAAAAACTCGGATAATTCTCACTTGTGATGTCATTCTATCTTTATTATTCATTAATTCCCAAAAAGGATAGAACGACGTGACACAACAAGTGAGAATTATCTGAGTTTTCATGTAAATGGATAGCACCTATTAAGTGTATATACGTACCCGGGATCCGGCTGACTCTCGCGAAGCGACTCCCGTAGCAGGAGTTGCAGTTGTTGCTGCGAGCAGTGTAGTAGCCGCTGCTCTTGCTGCTGCTGCTGCTGCTATCACTGACGGTGCTGCTTGGGTTTTTGCTGGTATGATTGGATTCGCAGCCAGAGCAGCTGCAGACGCTGCATTGGTCCTTGTAGCTGCTGGAGTACTTGTCGCATGTTGTTAAGTTCAGCAGGTTTCTCAGGCTGCTGCTGGTCTGGCTACGGCTGCTGCTGCTGCTGCTACTGCTCAATAGTGTTCGGAAGCTGGTGCTTAGAAAGTCGCTGATGCCACGGTTGCTGCTGCTGCTGCGGCTGTTGTCGCTGGTGAAGCCTAAGGTGCGGCTTGTGTCACACTTGTTGTTTGTTTGGCCCATCTGTGTAACAGATTTAAAGAAAACAAAATTTAATAAAAAGTTAATTAAATGTGCCTTTAAGATCCCCAAGCCAATGAAACGCGTCTAGTGGTAACTTTAACGAAACGCCAATCAAACGTGCGCCTTTAAGATCCCCAAGCCAATCAAACGCGTCTAGTGATAACTATTGTTGAATTTAGCGGTTGGTTCTTTCACCAACGCAATATGGACGCGACTGCTTTATCCTCGCTCTGTTTTCGAGTTAAAATTCCAACGGGTTTTTTGTATTCTGTTCCGGCATCGAACTTATTCCGCACGAAACGTTCGTCGGAACCATCGCCACCATTCGCTCATTTCACCGATTATCTCGAACGCTCTCGAAACGAAACGCTTGGATCCAACGAACACGTGATCGTCATAAGTATACACGGTGTTTATGTTTAATCTAAAGACAAAGGAGGCACCGGAGTTTCGCCTTGTTTTGGACCTCGTTAACGGTCAACGATGTATTCGGTCGCGCCGATCGACGAACGGCCGGCAGATTCGTCCTCCAGCTTTCGTTCGAGACGGTCGTGCTTAAGTTTACCTCTGCACTGTAATTGTAACGTGAGCCGAATTTAACTGACTACGACGATTAAACGTTTTACAATCAAATTGAGTGAATTCGTACGAGTGCCATTCCCTTCTGACCGTCGAGTCCTTATCCAAAGGCTGTACTAGCCGCTGGCCAATTTTTTGGAGCCGGAACATATTCTAAGTTTCTTTTTTCAATTTTTACCGTTTTCGGATCAATTTTTCAAATTATTACCAGTCCCTATAGCTTATAAATTATAAATAATTATTTGATCAGGTTGTGACCGAACTTGTGGTCTTGAATAAAGATAAACTTACTTGTATTATCTCCACACCGCCTAGGATCGAACCAGTTGGCGGAGCATCGTGAGACGGAAGGTTATTCTAGGAAGGGGTGACGACCCCCTCAGCACTGAGGAAAACGACGCAAGGAGGAGGACTTGTATTATAACAATACGGTCGCCACTGTGTTTTGAACGTTGACACAGAACGTATATGCCCGTCAATATCAATGACGATGGGCTTGCTTGCTTCCTTCTTTCCAGGATGTAAGATCTTCACGCTGTTCGGCTCAAACGTACATCAGACAATGTCCATTCAAAGTCCTTCACTCGCGTTCGCGTTGCGTATATGATATTCGGATAATAGAATAAGAATATTCAATACCTTGAGAATTTGTATTGATTTAACAATAACAAATATATATATATATATATTTTGTATTTGGTACAAAGGTACGCATTTGTCGAAACGGAAAGCGTTTCCAAAGGCTATCAGGAATGTTCTTGCCGGGTACGATTCTGCGTTACGAGTCGGATATATCTGACAATAATATGCCGCGTAACTATCGCTCGCAGTAGCAAAGATAAATGCAAGTACGCTGTTGCGCAAACTAATATTTCCCATGTACGAATTCCGCGATCGTTCGATTCCTTCTCACGCTAAGATAACTCTTGAATACTCGATTTACACGTAAACTTGGAAAAAACACGATGTGTCTTCCTCAAGATATCAAATGGGATAGACCTCGAGTCGAAATTTGGTCTCGCTTATATACCTTTCCTGGCTGTGCATCCCTACCATCTTCACTTTGGCCAATGAGCAGCCAGTTCTATAATGCTCGCTATCTCGCTTTCTCATGCAGTCGACTGGTCTGAACATGTTTCCCGGAACTTCCTCGAGAAGTAAACAACTTCAAGAGTATCATGTTACGTCAAAGGCAACTGCCGACGTTTAATTAAACGAATCTACGACGAAATATTCTTTTCGGTCGAGCGACTGCATGTTTTCGGTTTTCTCTTTGGGCAAATAATATTCATCGAACAAAATAATTAAATAATGAATCCCGTAACTGAATATTTTTCTCTACGCAATATCATACATACATGCTTTACATTAAGTACGGTTTTCCCTGCTTATTTCCCTGCTTATTATGTAGCTAATATCGCGTAATCACTCATTCATGATTTTAATTACTTTCTCTTTTATTTTTAGGTATCATCCAAGCATTCCAGGATCTACAGGGCTCATCAGGTAGGTATACGGATAAGTATAAATGATAATATTAATATCATACTAACGTAAAATAATCAATTTCCTTTTTCAGGAACTTTTAGGTAAAGTATTTATAAAACGCTTCAAGCGTTCGCAAAATGTATCCAACACGGTTGAATACATTTATAATAAATGAAATTAATGTTTAAATAAAGCTGGCTTGCTCATTTCTAACATTGACATGTTACTGACCTTGGTCAAGGACATCTTCATACACGCATGTTAATGCAAATCTGACGTTATCTGAATCGTTTACATTCTTTATTACAATGTGTCTCATGCAGTCACATACGTATAATTATCGATAATTAATGATTTAGCTAATTTTAGACAACTCTTGCAATAATGATAAAATTAAAGTTTTTTCTTTATAAATGTCTCTAGGTAGTCCCTCTAAATGATAATGCATCGTTAAAATCTAAAAAGTCGGTTATTTCAACCTTTGACCTTGAACTGTCAAAATCTTTAAATAAAGCAAATTTTGAGAAAAGCACCTCAGAATATTGTTATTTGAGATCATTCTAACTCATATCCATGGTCAAATGTCCATCATTGGGCTTATGCTCAGTTTTCGCAAAATTTTGCAAAATTCTAAAATATTGGTAAAAATGACATTTTTATTGAATAACTTACTTCAGGGAGTGGCTAGAAACATTTTAAGACTGGTTGCGTTCAAATCGCATCATTAATAAAGAAGTTAGTAATAATGACCTTGAGGGTCTGACCTTGAAATGTGTAAAACGAGAAATAATTAAAAATTTGAAACTTTTATGATGTAAATCGTTTCTTTAAATTATTATAAGATTTTTGAGACTAGTCGCATTCGAATCGCTTCATAAATGGCGAAGGTCACTCAAAGGTCATTTGATAGATGAACTTTTGTTCTAACAATAAATTCGCTAGTTGTATTATATAAGCATGTTATTTAATTGAAAATAAAACGTTTAAGATAAGAAAAATCAAAATCGGCTTGTAAATGGCGAAGGTCACTTGAAGGTCACTTGTAGAGGTGAACTCTCGTTCTTTTAAGAAATTTATCATTTTGACATCATAACTGGTGTGTTTGAATAAAAAGAAATCATTTAAGATCAAAAACATCCAAATCGGATGATAAATAAAAAAGTAAGCCCGAAGGTGCCCAAAAATGAAATAATGCATTTTTCTGTTTAAAAACCATATAAGCATGTTCCGCAGGTTAATATAAGTACATATATGTACTTTTTGAACTAGATTTAATGAAATTACAGAACTTTATCTCAAAATTGTCACAAACTGTCATTGCGTTAATTATTTGTAAAATAAAGAATGTATGCCTTATTAGCATGCTCATATATTATATCGCGCTCTTATATCTAATTAAAATCTATTTATCACGCATAATATAATATCTATGTATTTCAAATAAACTTTATCAAAAATCTGGCTCCTGCCATACAACGTTAAGTAACTTTTACTTATTACTATTATCATTACGTTAACTGTCAAATGGGCTCGTTTGGAAGAGCTATATTAATATTTACATCTTTACAGCAATGTTTATTGGTCAAAATCAGGTACGTCAACAAAATACTGTTTATCATTAAAGTTACAGTAAGTACCATATAAATAATTAGGATCGAAACTCTGTTTCGATAACTCTTTCTGTTAACATTTTTATGTTTATCGTTCTACTAATTATCTATTATATTCAAGTCTCGTTTTCACGATTAACAATGTAGTACCGGCTTCCATGCCCGGTGGCGCCACAATCTTCAGAGTAACTTTTTTCCCTAGCCCCATGCTTCTATGCTTCTATTCTTCATAACGTTTTTTGTGCTCGAAAGAGTCACAACTCAGAGTGTTTGATCGGGAATTAGAGGAAAGTCTTTTGTGAATAGTATTCTGCCATAATGTCGAAAAGAAGGCTGTGTAACGCGGAATTCGGAAAATGGAATGAGCAAATGAAGAGACTGCGTAAGAAACTGAGAAAGCGCAAACGGAAAAAGACCACCGAAGTGGTTAAGAGGCCTCGACCGCCATTGTGGTCGGCAAGGCACAAGATCTGACGAATGATAAGAAAATCGGTGAGTAATATGGAAAAATGTGCTCGTAAGCGTCTTGGCGGTGAGCCTTCACTAGAGGGAGGACATATCGCACGTTCGGAAGAGAGTAAATCTCTGGGCGATGAGCCTTCACTAGAGGAAGGACATATCGCACGTTCGTAAAAGAAAATCTCGCGGCGATGAGCCTTCACTCGAGGGAGGACAGATCGTACGTATAGCGAGTCAGCTGCTTGTGGTGTTTGTGGTTTATCTCCATAAACTTACTGTAACGTTTTGATAACATTTTACTTAAAAGAAAAAGATTACCTCAGATAAAGATCTCAAAATACCATGCAGTCCTCGCAGCAATGCAGCAGCCATTTCAATGTCACGTTTCACGTAACAGATTCATTTCTTTTTTTCTCATCGTTCATATTTCACTTTTCACAATTCACGCTAGCGGAAAAGTTTCATGATCGACCCCCAGAGATTCTGGCTTACATGGTTTCGGATTTGCATGTCAGGGACTATAAAGAGCAGAGACAAATATTTTGCTCCATTGAAAAAACGCTAGGCTCGGCTCGGCGATGGTAGCCTTGGCAAAAGCCATCTCTCTAATCCGCGAGCTGGAAGAGGACGAAGTCTCAAGTGCTCTGTTGCATTTTTTTAGGAGAAATGCAGGCAAGCTTTTGGCAGGCTTGCGTTATCAGCAGTCAATAATGACGAAAGCGTTTATCCTGCCAGGTATCGAGGAGGAATACCGGGAACGGTTGAAGAAGTCGTAAAATACGGCCGATTTATTTGGCATTTATTTGGCAAAAACCGTAAAAGTCTCTAGATGAAGTTCAAGAGCTACTCGCAGCAGGCTTAAAAAGAAAACCCAAAAAGATCCTTGCGTTTCAGAGACTGCCGGAGGTACTTTTACCTATATAATTCAAACTGAAATTATCGATTAAGCTATTGTGTCTCTTGATCCAATTTACGTTTCGGCCTTGTCAGACGCTGGTTTCAAAGGCACCGCTATTGCAGAATTTGCAATCTCTCGATGACATCAGAGAGGCAATAAATTAACTCTTGAATTAGAGGCTATCAGGCCTAAAATCGGATTAAATTTTCAGGATTGCTTTAAATTTAAGAAACTTAACGAGTTTACATTGACAAAGCACTTTAAATTGGACAATAGTACAGCGAAAAAGCTAATTTCCAAAAATTGTTTTTTGTTTAAACAAAGTTAGATTTAGAGAATGCCTATTTTCTGATACCAGTAGACGAGAGTTCTTCTAAGTACTTGAGATTTATTTTCCAGGGCCAGTATTTTGGGTTCTTATGTCTACCCTCCTGATTTTAATGTAACCCCTCATGTGTTCACTGAGGTCCTGAGGTCAGTAGTAAACCAGCTGAGTAAAAAAGGTTGTTTTTTTTCTTCAGTTACATACTTAGACGATATACTGTTCGTTGCGTCATCTAGGCAGTGTGTGGATAATGTAAAGGCCTCGATTGAGCTCTGGAATATTTAGGCTTTATCATAAATTATAACAAGAGCCTGGTACCCAGTCAAAAAGCGAAGTTTCTGGAAGTAACGTACAATTCTGAGACAATAACATTGGAAGTACAGAGGATAAGAAGCAAAGAATATTTGATTCATTGGAGTTGTAAAAAAAAAAAAAAAAGTTTGTCTTAGGCGATGATCTAGTTTTGTCGAATCAGTTAACGCATGTTGTTTAGCAGTTAAATACGGTCGATTATACACTAAAAGATTCGAACGTGTCAGATATTTGAGATTATTAAAAAATGGAAATAACTAAAAAAAAACAAAAAGGAAATCTTGAGCCAGTTTTAAAATGATGAAAGATGAATATTCTATCTTAAAATTCTGTCTTAAAATTCTTATTAAAAAAAAATATATATATAATAACAAAAAATAAGGCTCGAGGTTTCTTTTTTTGACAGACAAGAAACAAAAATGGCACAGTAACTTTGAGCTTTAAAACTCAAAGCAGCATTGGTTGTTCAAAAAAGCTTTGCTAGGAATTTTAGAAGTTGTAAAACACATCTGCATATATACCATGGCTATATCATATGTCAACAAAATGGGGGGGAGTGCAGCACCCAAATCTGCATAGGGTTGCGAAGGAAATCTGGCAGTGGTGTGAAGTAAGGAATAATTTGTTAGTGGTTTCGTACGTTAAGTCCGAAGACAATGTCGAAACTAACCGAGAATCTCGGATAAGAAATATATATACAAGACTGAATTAAAGAATTACGCCTTCCGTCATGCCGTCAGAGCGTTTTTGATATCCAAAAATTGATCTGCTTGCCCCTAGAGGTAACACAAAATGCGAAAAGTTCTTCGCTTGGGAAAACGATCCTTACTGGGCTAGCCAATCGTGGTTTCCCTTATTTATGAAACTGTTGAAGGGAAAGCCGTTAATTGTTAATCCTGTGCCTGCTTTACTTTTATCCCCCTTATAGGTCTATTCGGCATCCACTAACAAAGAAGCTGCCCCTGATGGTTGGAGAATTATCAGGAAACCCTTCAGAAGAGAAGGATTGCCTAGCTTCGAAAATTGCTAATATCTTCGAAGCTTTGCTGATGGAGTCAACTCGTAAGCAGTATGCAGAATTTTTAATAAGACAATGGTAGTCTTTTGCCTAGATCAAAATCTGGACCCTTATCAACCAGAAAAGAGAAGTTGATTTCATTTAATTTTTTCAAAAAGAGGGCGGCGGCATACGGATCCCGTAACTCGGTAAGATCGGCGATTTCTCTGATCAGCGGAAGCAATATTGCTCAAAATAAAAATATTTCTAGATTTTTTAAGAAAATATTCTTGCTTAACCCGGTGAAACCCAAGTATGATAGAACTTGGGATGTTGATACAGTTTTCAAAAAGTTGAAGGTTTTTCCCTTAAACAAGCTGACTCTTGGTTGCTTGACTGAGCGTCTCGTGTTGCTGCTTGCACTGGATATCGTGCACAGGGCACAAACATTGACCTCAATCAAGTTTTCTTTTTTTTAACTTAAACGAAGTTCGGAAAGATACGAAATAGGAATATCGGGTCGAATTAAGACCTACCGTCCAAGATCATACCAACTTTTGCTAGTTTGCCAGTTGTTCTGAAAAATCCCAGGTTAGGCTAATGTCAACATTTGACGCTTACATCCAAGCGACATCGCAGTTGAGA